GAGCAAGGGATCGAGAATCTATTTGAAGAAATAATGATGCAAAACTTCTCTAACCTGGTGAGGGAAATAAACATACAAGCCCAGGAAGCTCAGAGGGTCCCAAAAAGAGGAACCAAACAGGCCCATGCCAAGACACATCATAATTAAAACGCCAAAGGTTAAAGACAAAGAGAGAATCCTAAAAGCAGCAAGAGAAAGGCAGTTAGCTACAAGGGAACTCCCATAAGACTGTCAGATGATTCCTGAACAGAAACTTTGCAGGCCAGAAGCGATTGGCACAAAATATTCAATGTGATGAAAAGCAATGACCTATAACCAAGACTACTCTACCCAAGCAGGCCCTCAATTAAAATTCAATGTGTGATAAAGAGTTTCACAGACAAGAAAAAACTAAAGGAATTGATCACCACCAAGCCAGTATTAAAAGTATTATTAAAAGGACATCATTAAGAGGAAGAAGGGAGGAAAACATAAATATGAATAATAAAATGGCAATAACTATATACCTATCAATAACCACTTTAAATGTAAATAGATTAAATGCTCCAGTCAAATCAGATAGATTAGCTGACTAGATAAGAAAACAAGACCCATATGTATGCTATCTACAAGAGACCCACTTCAGATCAAAAGACATACACATATTGAAAGTAAAGGAATTTCTTTTCCTTTCATGCAAATGGAAATGAAAAAAAAGGTGGGGTAGCAATACTTGCATCAGTATTTAAACAAAGGCAGTAAGAGACAAAGAAGGATATTACAAAATGATGAAGAGATCAATCCAAAAAGAAGACATAATCCTAGTATAAACATTTATGCACCCAACATAGGAGCACTTAAAAATACAAAGCAAATATTGGCTGACATAAAAGGAAAGATTGACAGTAATACAGTCATCGTAGGGGACTTTAACACTCAACTGACACAAATGGACAGCTCTTCCAGACAGAAAATCAACAAAGAAACAGCGGCCTTAAGTGACACATTAGACCAGACGGATTTAATAGATGTTTTTAGAGCATTTCACCCTAAAGCAGCAAAATATACATTCTTTTCAAGTGCACATGGAACATTTTCCAGGATAGACCACATGTTGGGTCACAAAACAAGTCTCAGTAAATTTAAGAAGATTGAAATTATATCAAGAGTCTTCTCTGACCACAATGGTATGAAACTAGAAATCAATTACAAGAAAAAAAAACTGAAAAATATACAAACACATGGAGGCTAAATGATATGCTACAGCGGTCCTAAGAAGGAAATTCATAGCAATACATACCTACTTCAAGAAATAAGAAAAATCTCAAATAAAGAATCTAACCTTACACTTAAATGAACTAGAAAAAGAATGGCAAACTAAGTCCAATATAAGTAGAAAGAAGAGAATAATAAAATTCAGAGTGGAAATAAATGAAAGAAAGTCTAAAAAAGCAATACAAAAGATCAATCAAACCAAGAGCTGGTTCTTTGAAAAGATAAACAAAATTGAAAACCCTTTAACCAGATTCATCAAGAAAAAAAGAGAAGACCCAAATAAATAAAATCAGAAATAAAAGAGAAGTGACAACTGACTCCACAGAAATACAAAGGATTAGAAGAATATACTATGAGAAATTGTATGCCAACAAATTGGACCATCTAGAAGAAATGGATAAATTCCTAGAACCATATAATTTCCCAAGACTGAGTCAAGAAGCAACAGAAAATCTGAACCGACATATTATCACTGACAAAATCAAATCGGTAATCACAAAACTCCCAACAAAGTCCTAGACCTGAAGGCTTCACAGGTATTGTGAATTTTACCAAACATTCAAAGAATAATCAACACCTATTCTTCTCAAACTATTCCAAAAAATTCAAGAGGAGAGAACCTCCCAAGCTCATAACAAGTCTGTCATTACCCTGTTTCCCAAACCGAAAACATTACAAAACTGGAAAATTATAGGGCAATATCCCTGATGAACATAGATGCAAAAGTCCTCAACAAAATATTAGCAAACTGAATTCAGTAATATATGAAAAATATCATACATCATGATCAAGTGGGGTTTTTTCCTGAGATGCAAAGTTGGTTCAATATCTGTAAACAAATTAATGTGGTATAAAACATTAAAAATTGAAATATAAAAATCATATGAGTATATCAATAGATGAAGAAAAAGCATTCAACAAAGTTCAGCATCCATTTATGATAAAAACTATTAGCAAAGTGGGCATAGAGGGAACATACCTCAACATAATAAGGGCCATATATGACAAACCCACACCTAACATCATACTCCACGAGAAAGATCTAAAAGTGTTTTCCTTAAGTTCAAACACATGACCAGTATGTCCATTTTCACCACTTTTATTTGACATATTAGTGGAAGTCCTAGCTTCAACAATCAGACTAGAAAAGAAATAAAGGCATTCAAATAGGAAAGGATGAAATAAAACTGTTATTATTTGAAGATGACATTATGCAAATATAGAGGATCCTAAAGATTCCATCAAAAACTGTTAGAACTGATAAATGAATTCGGTAAAGTAGCAGGATACAAAATTAATATTCAGAAATCAGTTGCATTTTTATACACCAATAATGAACTACCAGAAAGGAAAATTAAGAAAACAATCCTATTTACCATTGCATCAAAAACAATAAAATACCTAGGAATACATTTAAAGAGGTAAAAGACCTGTACTTGGAAAATTATACGAAACTGAAGAAAATACAAATAAATAGAAGTATATACCGTGCTCATGGATAGGAAGAATTAACATCGTTAAAATATCTATATTACCCAAAGCAATATACAGATTCAACACAATTCCTATCAAAATACCAATGGCATTTTTCACAGAATCAGAACAAATAATCCAAAAACTTATATGGAACCATAAAAGATCCCAAATAGCCACAGCAATCTTGAGAAAAAAAGACAAAGTTGGAGGTATTACACTACCTGATATTGAACTATATACTACAAGGCTATAGCAATCAAAACAGCATGATACTGGCATAAAAACAGACATATAGATTAATGGAACAGAATAGAGAGCCCAGAAATAAATCCACGACTATATGGTCAGTTAATCTATAACAAAGAAGGTAGGAATATACAATGGGATAAAGACAGTCTCCTCAATAAATGATCTTAGGAAAACTGGACACATACATGTAAAAAAAATGAAACTGCACCACCTTTTTACACCATATACAAGAATAAACTCAACATGAATTAAGACTTAATGTAAGACCCAAAACCACAAAACCCCTAGAAGAAAAGACAGGCAGTAAACTCTCTGACATTGTTCTTAGTAATATTTTTTTCTGACATATCTCCTTGGGCAAGGGAAACAAAAGAAAAAAAATAAACAAATGGGATTACTCAAACTAATTTTTTTTTTTACAGCTAAGGAAACCACCAACAAAATGAGAAGACATACTACTGAATTGGAGAAGATATTTGCCAATAATATATCTGGTACGAAGTTAGTACCCAAAATTTATAAAGAATTCATACAACTCAATATAAAAAAATAATAATAAACAATACAATTAAAAATGGGAATAGAATCTGAATAGGCATTTCTCCAAAGAGGACATACAGTTGGCCAAGAGAATATGAAAAGATGCTCACGGTTACTGATCATCAGAGAAGGCAAATTAAAACCACAATGAGATATCACCTCACACCTGTCAGAATGGTTATTATCAATAAATCAACAAACAACAAGTGTTGGCAAGGACATGGTGTAAAGAGAACCCTTGTGCAATATAGTAAGATTGCCAACTGGTTCAGTCACTATGGAAAATAGTATGAAGTTTTCTTAAGAAATTAAAAATAAAACTACCTTATGATGCAGTGATCACACTTCTGGGTATTTATCCAAAGAAAACCAAAACACTAATTCTAAAAGATATATGAACCTCTGTGTTCACTGCAGTATTATTCACAATATCCAAGATATGGAAGCAACCTAAGTGTCCATCAATAGATGATTAGATGAAAGAAGTTGTGGAACATATATACAATGGAATATTACTCAGGCATAAAAAATGAACTTTTATCATTTGCAATGACATGGATGGACCTAGAGGGTTTTATGCTAAGTGAAATAAGTCAAACAGGGAAAGATGAATACAGTATGGTTTCATTAATGTGTGGAATCTAAAGAATAAAAATGAAAACAGCCTCATATATATAAAACTTGTGGTTGCCTAAGGGGAGGGGGTTTAGAGGGCTGGGTGAGAAGGTGAAGGGATTAAGAGTACAAATTGGTAGTTACAAACTAGTCATTTGGATATGAAGCCCAGCATAGGGAATATAGTCAATCATATTGTAATAATCAGGTGGGTACTAGACTAATCAGGGGATCTCTTTGTAAATTATATGTGTCTAACCATTATGCCATACACCTGAAACTAATATAAAATAATATTGAGTGTCAACTCTAATCGAAAAATAGAAGTTAAAAAAAGTATTTGGAGAAATAATGGGTGAAATTTCTCTAAATGATGAAAAACATTAATCTACACATCTGAGAAGCTCAATGAATCCCAAGTGGAATGAACTCAAAGATATTCACAGCTAGAGAAATCAAAATCAAATTATGGAAAGACAAAGCCAAAGAGAAAACC